GTAGTTTTTGCCCTGGCCAGGTGGCTCAGTTGGGTAGAGCATCATCCCGTATACCAAAGGTTGCAGGTTCAGTTCTTAGTCAGGGCACATAAATAGGTTGTGGGTTTGATCCCCAGTCAGGGCATGTACAGGAGGCAACCAACTGATCTTTCTCATATCGATGTTTCTCTCTCCCCCTAAAATCAAAAATATATCCTCAGGTGAGGATTTTTTTTTTAAATGCAATTTTAGTTAAAAAAAAATTCACATGATAAATGCAAAGCTCTTCAGTTTTATTAGTATTATAAATGTTTCCAAGACAAATTGATAGAAACTCCTCAGTTATGATTTGTGGAACCATACTGATCTCTACTTGAGATCAGAGCTGTCACTTTTACGATTTGAGTTGTTTCGGTCTATAAACTCTATTTGGAGAAAATTCAAAGTCCACTTTAAAATGTAGGTGGAGGAGTATTACTTATTACTCCAATCTTCTCTCTTGTCTTTAAATCATAAGTGATGTTCTTACAGCTAACAGAATAGAGAAATGAACATAAAAAACACATTTTAGAAATTGTCTCGCTACATAATTACTTTCAAGACATAAAAAAAAGGTGTTCAAAAATAAAGTTGGTCATAGTCCTTTTATTTATTTATTTATTTTAAGTTTTAGTCACGTCTAGTCCAAGTCTGCCTCTGAAGTATTCATTTTGAACATTTTGGAGACCAAAGAGAAGTTTTCACCATTTATTTTTAAATGTGTTGGCAGAACAGGTTTTCCATATTTTGAAATAAATCAAACTCAAATGTAGAGACAGTTAACAAAGGAACCCAAATCCAGGCTGTGTGCACATATTTCTCTCCCTGTCACATGTGGATTGGGAAAATATACAGAATCTCCAACATTGGGCTGCATGAAAACAATGCTTCTCTTGGCTTTTCTTGAATCTGCTGACTACACCCACAAAGGCACGTTGGCAGTCCTCTTTCTGTTTTCATTTGTTTTTCTTGCACAGAGCAATAAACAGTGTGCCAGCACCGCAGGCCACAGCCTCCAGGGCAATGACTGCGGAATCGCACAATGGAATGGGGAGGCTGGGATAGCTGTGCTGCCCGGGCCTGGCTGAAACTAATGAGTGGCCTGAAAAATAAATGGCTTCTTTCCCATTTATTTTAATTTATGATTTTTGAAAGGAGGAAATGAGTGGGCCTTGTATTTCATACCAAAAAACACAAACTTCCAGAACTATAGCTTACTACATTTATAAATGCCTCGCCTAATCCTCCCACCACGTATGACCCCTTTGTGATGACACAGGCGTATTACCTCTGGGTTATGAAAACAGAACATACTTCTTCTCAAAGCTGTATGTTCCCAACTTGAATGATTCACTTAGCAACAGCCTGAGCTTACAATTTGCTGGTAGGTTCAGATGCTAATAATGTATAAATTAAGATGATTCTCCATAACTAAAGTGCTGCTACTTCCATCTCCTTCTTTACAAGATATAACTCAGTCAAGAATTCTATGGGGGAAAAACTACAAAATGAGAATTTCACCATTTCAAAAATCATTTAAAATGAAAATACTGTTGAGTACCAAACGTAGAAATCACCTTTTGGAATATCTGCCAGAAAACGATTCCCTTTTTGGGGGGACTCATGCTTACAAGTTCTTGTAAGTCTGGGTACCAGGACGATTCCCTTTTTGGGGGGACTCATGCTTACAAGTTCTTGTAAGTCTGGGTACCAGGCTTATGTTAGTACTACCAGGAGTGGACACCATCCCCAAACTGGGCCAGATTCTTTCTGTTGAAAATTGACCAATGGGACTGAGAGCTGAGGACTCACTGTCCATATGGTTGGGACAGCAAGTCTGCAGGGAAAGCCTATGAGGGATCAAGAGAAACCCTTGGTATTTTCCAGTAACTTCTAATATTTCTTGAGGTCCAGCTGCATTCTTGTCCTGGAATTCTTATGGCACCCCTGAATTTTTATAGCAACTCTTACTCCCACTTATGGCTTTACTGTTTGGGGAAAAAATAATTCTAAATTATAACTGGGATTATGGGAAGACAATTCAATAAATTGTCTGAAATTCTTGTTTGCTACAACAGAGCCTGTCAAGATAGAAAATGTTAGTGTGGTGGGTCAAGACAATGTAGCTTGGAAAAACAGCAAAAACAAGAAATGTTACTGGCGTATAGCTCTAGAGAGGGTAAAGCTCCCCTATGAACTACATAATACCAGACTTAGGAAGTGCTCTTCTTTTTGAGCCTGCACTCAAAAGGGAACAGAACAGGGGTTCTATACAGGGCATCTCCTGGACTAAAGGAGTACATTCGACTCCATGACTGTCCTATATACCCCCTAATAGTCTAGCCCTAAAGTGGCAAGATGGTACAAGGAGAGGAATTAAGAGTGTAATTTTTTCATAATGACATATGGTACCAGATGGGTACTTGAATTATCGGGGGTTGGGGGGAACCACTTTGTAAATTATATAACTGCCTAACCATTATGCTATATACCTGAGACTAATATAAATATTGAATGTCAACTGTAACTGAAAAATAAAATTTTTTAAATTGCAAAATATATCTTTTAAAAAAATAAAATATTAAAAGGGCTCATGTGGTTCAGGTTAGAGCCACCCAGATATTTTCTCTTTCTTAAAATCAACTGTGCCATATAAATATAATAATAATTATAAATAATAAATATATCATGGAGGTAAAATCCATCACCTTCAGTTATGAGAATAAGGGTGGGACATCTCAGGAGCCATCTAAGCATTTTGCCTACCATATTAGAGTAATAAACAGTGTGGTCCTGTAACAGAATACATAAGCCCATAGGAAGAAAAACAGGATTGTTTATAGCAGGTGGAAGCCACTATAGGTCTTTAAATCTATAGAGAAAATATGGCTTGAATTAATAGTTTGGGGACATATGAACATCAACTTGGGAAAAAACTCCTGTATCAAACTACATACCAATCCAGATGGATTAAAATTTTAAATGTAAAAAAGTAAAATGATAAAAGTACTGTAAGAAAATATGAGTATCTTATAATTCTGAGATGGACGTGCTTTTATAAGAAAAACAATGAGTTAAAACTCAAAACAAAAAAGGTCATTGATTAAATAAAATTAAAATGAACAGCAAATGATTAAAATATAAATGACAAATTACAAAAATTGTTTGAACATATATAGAAAAAACCATTATCATCCTAAATATGGAGAGAACTCTTAAAAAAGAGTAATAAATGGAAAACTACCACACAAAAATCATCAAAGGACATGAGCAAAAACTGTCAAGAAAACAAATGCATAGACAATAAACAAGTGGTTCAAGATCACTAAAAACCAAATCAATATAAATTACACAGCATAACATTTTCACCTATTGGATTGTCAAAAATGATAATGATCGGTAATCTCCATGTTGGCAACTCTCCAACCATACATTGCTGATAGGATTGCAAATTGGTACAGTGTCCTGGAGGACATCTGACAATCTATATCAAAAAGTAAAATTATTTGTTCCTTTCATACAATTCCACTTCTGGAACTGTTTATTAGTCAAATAAGGATGTCTATACATGTATGCTCAATGTGTGTATTTAATAAGAGGGAAAATATAAACCTAAATGTTCACCATCAGGAAATGAAACAAATGACACATTGAAATTCTGCCAACATTAAAAATAAGAATACCTTTATATATTCATATGGAAAGTAATCTATATCAAATGAAAGAAAGTAGGTCCAAAGACTATGAGTAGTTTGATTGCATTTATATTTTAAAATATTTTTAAAGTCCATTTAAAAACAAAACTCTAAAACTGTACATGAAACTGACAGTACTTATTCCTGCAGTGTAGACTGTTACATGGGTCTGTTGGGGGGAGAGAGTTGTGGAGATAGATCATGACTAGGAGGGTGGGAAGATACTTTTGCATTTGGAACTCTTTTAAAGAAATGGATACATGTGAATTTGGTAACACACTATGTCTTCTTTTTGGATGAAAAATGTCCAAAGATGATCCTAGTGGTGAATGTATGAAGCAAGTGACTCAATTTTGACCATTTGTAAGTTTCCCATCTAAGTTATCACTGACAAGTGTGGGATAAAAAATACACGAAAACCACATCATATATAGGCAAAGCACTTGATGCACTAATTGAAATAATGTGAAAAGGTTAAAAAGATCACATCAGAGGCAAAGTAATGCCACTTGAAATTGTGTTTTTCGTTTTATCAATTTAAAAGAACCCTAGTTCACTCACTGTTGGTGAGGATGCAGACTGGTGTAGCCACTGTGGATAACAGTATGAAGTTTCATCAAAAAATTAGAAATGGAATTGCTTTTTGACCCAGCAATCCCACTTCCAGAATATATTCTAAGAATCCCGAAACACCAGTTCACCAATTTGAAAGAATATATGCACCCCTATGTTCACTGCAGTGATATTTACAATATCCAAGACCTGGAAATAGCCCAAGTGCCCATCAGTAGATGAGTGGATAGAAAAAGCTGTGGTACAGTTACACAATGGAATATTATACAGCCATAAAAAAGAAGGAACTCTTACCTTTTGAGACAGCATGGAGGGACCTGGAGAGTATTATGCTAAGCAAAATAAGCCAGTCAGAGAAAGACAAGGTCACATGATCTCACTTATATGTGGAATATAATGAACAAAATAAACTGACGAACAAAACAGATCCAGAGACATGGAAACATGGAACAAACTGATGAATCTCAG